ACTGAGCTGTTCTGGCCTCGGGCAATAAAACACACTGAGCTGTTCCCTGCACCTCGGGAAAAATATTCTGGTCTATTGACTGCTCAGGCATTAAATAATTGTATAATAGTCCGAGTTAATAATAGAATGATCATATAAGACTCCATCTTAACAAGATATGTTTGTTTAAAGTCTCTTTAAAAAAATCACTTATATGGAGACGCCACCACTTGCCGGTGGAGGGCTACAAATTTTGACCTAATATACTCGGAGCTCAGGACTACTGAGCAGTGAGGGACCTAGCTGTAGCTACTGCGACACGGAATCTTTGTTCATACTGTCTTTCCCGAGGGGCTGATCTCCACGTCCCACAGTGTGATTCTAACCCGCAACATACATGTGTGGAATAGAAATATCAGAAAAATCAATCAGATCCTACGAACAGGGACATTTTAAAAATAAATTTTGGTGAAATATATGAACAAGTGCTCTTCAGAACAGTTAGAAAAAAATGCAAAAAAAGATGAAAAAGTAAAGGATTTCATAATAAGATGTAAATTGAACAGCTGCTTTTCAAAAAAAAAAAAAATTCAATTACACTCAGAATGAATCAATGATCACAGATTATTTCTAGGGAAAATATTTTATAAAATATGAAATATTTTTGAAATTATTAGAAATATAGTTCTAGCGTTTTACATTTGTTTTTACAATTTGTTTAAAAAAATAGCTATAATTGTGGCGGAAAGAGAATATTGCGATCTATAATATAAACACTCGGCATAAAAAAAAAAACAAACAACAATACAATGAACTGTAAGTATATTAAGTACGTTAATTGAAAGCTAATATTTATACAGTGACATATTGCGAAATAGCATTGATCATAAGTTTCTTTCAAGGACACGGCTTTTATTTTTTCCGAAGCTACTTTTAAATATACCAAGAGTTTCATCAATCTAAAAGTACATGAAATGAAAAACTCTGCCACGACTGAAGCTTTTACACTTTATGATATAGATCAAGTGCTACTCAACTTCAAGGTGATGAGCCCATGTGAAAACTGTCATTTTTTTTCCATCGAATTAACATAATGTATCCTCCACATGCGGTTTACGACAAAGTCTGATTCTTAATCTATACTTTTAATGAAGTTTGTGATAATATAAGAATTTCCCGCCTTGGAAGTATAATTGACATCAAAGATCTAGCAAAGAAGCTACTTTTTTTCATTTACATATATAAGTCAGTATTTAACTTGTTGTGTTTGAAGGCAATGATTTTCTTAAACTTAACACTTAAAAATAATCAGACACAATTTCACAACATTTCTACTATGGTTGAAATCTCACTATATTAGGGGTATATAAAGATATAGTTGAAGGGGGAAAATGAAGTTAACGAACAATTATAAATCTTATAAATTCTGTTTACATCAAGAGTCCTAAAAAGAGGTTGCGTCACAGTAGGGGTTGGAACGATAAAGATCACTCTCTGCTCATTGGCCCTGTGTGCCGAGTAATGGTCAAAATTTGAAGCCCTTCACCGGTACATTTATATAATTTTATGTTGACGTCTACATGAGTGAAGAATCACCGAAAGGGAAGTTAAACAACAAACAATCAATTAATCAATATAATTATCATGCATGCCGTCGTTTCGTTAATACCATGCATATTCTCATTATTTCGATTTATATTGTAGTACACTGTACATTATACTTAGTGTATGCCATTTTTAGAAACAATATATTATCTCGCAGTTGCGGTTTATTCTGTCGTTCGTATATCTTATAACATTATGTATGACGTGTTATTTCCTCTGTAGTCTGTACATTGTAACACGAGCTTTGATTGGATACAAAGTCGGGTGTAAATTTCCGTAAACCCGACTTCAGCCGGGGATTAAAAAAAAGCGTGACGTCACAATACATAGTTTCTCTATGAGAAAAAGCTAATAACATGACGTGACTATATACATTGTAGGACGTATAGTATACACCTATTTACTGGCTATGAGGACAATAGCAAGTTTATCGTTCCCCAAGACAGCAAACTATTTCCCGAGGCGCAGCCGAGGGAAATAGTTTGCTGTCGAGGGGGACGATAAACTTGCTATTGTCCTCATAGCCAGTAAATAGGTGTTTTATTATACCGATGCTGACTTAACTTTTGTTAACTTTTGGGAGTCCAGGGTACACACAATTATGATATTCCATATTATACCGATGCTGACTTAACTTTTATTACGTCATAATACATATGCGTCACAATCCGTATAAAACCAGAAGTTTTCCGAGATGAAAAGCGAGGGAAACAGAATGCTGCCGGTGAATAGTTTGATGACTATTTCACCATGGGCGGATAGCACAAAAACTATTTCACAGTAGGGGCTGTTTGGAAAAGATAGCATGTTTATTCGTCATGTTTTTATATTGAACAAATTCACAGAGGTATAATAACAAAAACTATACCCCGAGGTATGGCTTTACTATGCCAGGACTATCAAAGATAGCTATTTAACCTTCTTAACTTTATATAGGAAATATTCTAACAGAAATATAATAATAAATCTTATATCAGTAGCTTGATACACAGTTTTATGAAGAATTATTTGGGTACAAAGGAAATGAATTCGTTACCCATGTCCAATCTCGTAATTATAATTATTACATTAATTACCATTTTTTACAATGATTACAACATATCACATTGTACACAACTTGTTTTTTTTTTGTTCACACGACTCAGTATCTCGTAGGTAAGACAGAAATATTATAGTTTCAACTGTCAACAATACGAAGTTCACTGCTTCAATGGATTTACAAAAGAAATATCAAAATCTTGATATGTACAGAAAAATAACATAATTGTATAATGAATACAGTGATTGAAAGGTCATGGGCGAAACATATATCTTCAAATGTATGAATATTTTTCAGAGAACGAAAGAATCGGTTCTCAGAAAAGAATGTTTTCTACGAACCGAAAACTGTAACAAACCAGAAGTCTCTGTCGAGACTGACGCTCTACTGGTTTGTACTTATAATAAAAAAAGAGAAAAGTAGCAGTTGGGATATAAAACTTTACAAAAGCAATAAACAGAATAATGACAAATATCGATACACAGAATTATGTATCTTAGTGTAGTCTACATGTGTGCCAAGTTATATTGAAATCAGACCAAAACTGTAGGAGGAGTAGCATTTTAAATGTATTTCAAAGAAATTTCTTTTTTAAGTAACAACAGCAACACCGTTCATTGAAACAAAAACCTATATACAGAATTATGTATCTTAGTGTAGTCTACTTGTGTGCAAAGTTATATTGGAATCAGACCAAAACTGTAGGAGGAGTAGCATTTTAAATGTATTTCAAAGAAATTTCTTTTTTAAGTAACAACAGCAACACCGTTCATTGAAACAAAAACCTATATACAGAATTATGTATCATAGTGTAGTCTACTTGTGTGCAAAGTTATATTGGAATCAGACCAAAACTGTACGAGGAGTAGCATTTTGAATGTTTTTCACAGAAATTTCTACTTTTAGTAACAACGGCAACAACGTTCTTTGAAATCAAAAACCAACACACAGAATTATGTATCTTAGTGTAGTCTACTTGTGTGCCAAGTTATATTGAAATCAAACCAAAACTGTAGGAAGAGTAGCATTTTGAATGATTTTCACAAAAAAATCTATTTTTAGTATCAACGGCAACACCGTTCATCGAAATCAAAAACCAATACACAAAATTATGTATCTTTTTGTAGTCTACTTGTGTGCTAAGTAATATTGAAATCAGATTAAAACTGTAGGAGGAGTAGCATTTTGAATGATTTTTCACAAATTTTTCTATTTTTAGTAACAACGGCAACACCGTTCATCGAAATCAAAAAGCGATACACAGAATTATGTATCTTAGTGTAGTCTACTTGTGTGCCAACTTATATTGAAATCAAACCAAAACTGTAGGAAGAGTAGCATTTTGAATGATTTTCACAAAAAAATCTATTTTTAGTAACAACAGCAACACCGTTCATCGAAATCAAAAACCGATACACAAAATTATGTATCTTTTTGTAGTCTACTTGTGTGCTAAGTTATATTGAAATCAGATTAAAACTGTAGGAGGAGTAGCATTTTGAATGATTTTCACAAATTTTTCTATTTTTAGTAACAACGGCAACACCATCCATCCAAATCAAAAAGCGATACACAGAATTATGTATCTTAGTGTAGTCTACTTGTGTGCCAAGTTATATTGAAATCAAACCAAAACTGTAGGAAGAGTAGCATTTTGAATGATTTTCACAAAAAAATCTATTTTTAGTAACAACAGCAACACCGTTCATCGAAATCAAAAACCGATACACAAAATTATGTATCTTTTTGTAGTCTACTTGTGTGCTAAGTTATATTGAAATCAGATTAAAACTGTAGGAGGAGTAGCATTTTGAATGATTTTCACAAAAAAATCTATTTTTAGTAACAACAGCAACACCGTTCATCGAAATCAAAAAGCGATACATAGAATTATGTATCTTAGTGTAGTCTACTTGTGTGCCAAGTTATATTGAAATCAGACCAAAACTGTAGGAGGAGTAGCATTTTGAAAAATTGTTTACAGACGGACAGACAGACAGACACAACAGACGGACGGACGACGGACGCATTACTATCGCATAAGCTCTTCTGGTCTCTGACCAGTAGAGCTAAAAATATACTTTAATTATGATATTCATTAAAAACGCACACACAATGGCCAGCGTTGCTCAAATGAAATCAAGACCCCCAAAACCTATTTAAATAGCATACCTAACTATATAAACCCCGATCCTTTACTTGGAAAATACACATGGTATTTAAATGTCTAAAAATAGAAACTGCGCTTTAAATCAGTCGTTCATGATGCTAACTCATTTGCTCGCAAATACGTAGAGGATTACATATAAGCTGTGAATTCAGATGATCACAGAAAGAACAACTAATTGGATAGCTAATCAGACATTTACTGCCCAATATGGACTGTCCAGATGATCTTTCACAGTTAGCTGACCTTTCGGAGGACAACATCACTAAAGTTGTCAAGATCAGATATAAAGAAGACAAAATATACGTAAGTATTCGGCTATTACATGAACGTACCTTTCGGTTTATGTTTCATAACCTAATATGTACAATGTCTTGTGTTGCTGAGTTTGTTTGTTTGCAGTTTATAGTCCCTCTCGAGGAATTTTTCACTCATATTGAGACGCCACCACTTGCCAGTGAAGGGCTGCTATCTCGGAAATTGAAATTTAAACAGTGAGAAATCTTTATTGTTATACCTTTAAAAATTGTTCCTATACAAATCCATACAGAAAAAAGTCTAAAATTTTTAATGTTTTGCTGAGCGGGCATAAAAAAAAATCGATGTTGGACCGCTGAGTGAGATGTTGGACCGCTCGGAGAGATGTTGGACCGCGAACATCACAGAATGAGCGGAGCTTAATCTTATTTTCATTCTTTGGTTTTAAACAGTGACAGATTTAATGTAACATTATGTAATATAGTACAAAATACATGCATGTCAAAAAATATGTAATAAAATGAAATGTATAACAAAACATTTATTGACAGAGTTCTCGGGAAAGATGCGTTTTGTCGGACCCTCGAACCAAACTGTCTGCCTTTGGCCTAACGGCCTCAGGCAGACAGTTTGGTTCTTGGGTCCGACAAAACGCATGTTGCCCTCGAACTCAGTCAATAAATGTATATTGTAACAACCCCTACTGTGAGGCGGGATCTTGGTCCCAGCTCAAGGATGACATCATATGAATTAAATTGGAAAAAATTGTTTAAGTAATAAAATCATTGTTTTTTACGATAAGGTGAAATTGTGATGTATCCGGATTTAATTGTTGAAATTCCCCTTACACCCTACCATTCAAGTAAAAACGACTACTGGGAAAAAACATTCAAAGCCATGTTTTATTTACACACAAATCCCACTAGCATCAAATATAATTTCCTTGACCCGCCTTTGACAATTTTTTTTTATTTTCCTGAAGATGTTCAATTTTAATCAATTACAATATCTTGGGCGTTACTTTCTCTGCTATCAAAATAGGGTGCTAGTTGATTTCTCTTGGATTACTTTACTATATATAATATAGTACATGTTCGTATTTATAAATCAATATATTTAACAAAATAATGTTTAAATACATGTAACTACTTTAAAATTTCAAGATTTTATTATTTCAATTACTTCTTTCACCCACATTCGCCCGAGTGGCACAGTGGTTAGAGCGTCTGCTCTAGAGTCGCGAAGTAAGGAGCCAATCCTTACGTCGCAGGTTCGAATCCCACTGTGGGACGTGGAGACCGGTCCTTCGGATGAAACTGTATAAACCGAGGCCCCGTGTCGATGTAGGTGCTGGCACAAAAAAGATCCCTAACTGCTAAAAGGCCCTGAGTGCCGAGCGTAGGACAAAATTTGTAGCCCTCAACCTGCAAGTGGTGGCGTCTCCATATGGGTGAAAAATTCTCGAGAGGGACGTTAAACAACATATAATCAATCAATCAATCTTTCACTCACAAGCCCTTCATTTATTTATGCAACACATGTTAGAGGCACTCATAATTTACTGCCATACGTGTACATGTATCACATTGGGCCTTCTCCCCTATCTAAAACCACAAATTAATGTTACAGTTAGAGTAAGGAGATGGGATAGTGAGCATGTAGTTTCGAGATATGACAGTCTTTTTTAATGTAACGTTCAATATTTCGTAGAACAATCATTTTTGCAGAATATATTTATTTACTATGGAATTCAAGTATCTGTAAGAGTATTGAATATTTATGATCACTTGTCATTAATGTTCAGCGAAATTTACATTGTTTTCAAGGGCAAAGAGGGGAGGGAGCCGGAAGGACAAATAATTTTACATGAAAGGTGCAAGAATTAGCCATTGAAATATTAAATACTCTGCTCACTGAAATGGAATAAGAATTTTTGTATGATGCAGGTTTTCTATCATTGGATTCAATATAATTTGATATCTTGTAAACTTGATATCTTTTTGCCATTTGTGTAAATAAGTATTTTATGCACAGGATATTTTAAAGAATATGTAACGAAGTCTATAAAACCGTCTTTTACAAATTTTGTCATAATGACAATGCGTAATAAAGAAATAAGAAGCCCTTCAAAAGAAAAAAAAACTATCACGCGATGTATTAACAAAGCAAATAATGCAGTGAAATCTTATACAGATGTTTATACTCTTAAGATATAATTTCGCTGAGATAATGATCAAACGAGCGTATCATATTGCAATCTTTTTCATGTTATTTGGGAAAATACCCATGGAAACTTTAAACAACTTCCTTGTCAGCTTTGGACCTGTGTCCCTTTAAAGTGATTGACAGCGCCGTCTTTTACCTCAAATGTCTAAATGTCCTCATATTCTGTTTCTAAGTATTTCTTTGTTGTATTTTTAGACAAACGTTGGGGAAATTCTTCTTGCAGTAAATCCTTGCAAAGAACTAACAATATACACAGAAAATGTAAGCTATTTTTATCATTTTGCGCATAAATGATGAATGCACTTTGAGAAATAAATGATGGTACTTTATATCTTTGAACATCAAAATTAAAATATGAGAATACCAGATTATTTTGAAAAGAAACCCTTAATGTTTATAATCAAGTTAACAAATCTATAGTTTACTTTCGAATTGAAATAAATATGAATATTATATTAAGACCAAGAAGCAATATGACTGGGGAAACTTCGACGCAAAACTCCCTCCACATGTGTTCGACATTGCCACAAGAGCATATCGACGCATGCGTCAGGCAGATGGAAACCAGATTATACTGGTTTGTGGCGAATCAGGCGCGGGAAAGACGGAGAGTGCAAAGTACATGGTTGAGCACCTAATGCACATGGTCGGCCATGGTACAAAAGACCTGAATGAACGAATTGTAAAGGTAATATAACTGAAAGAAAAACAGTAAACTCTATATCTTATACGTAATAAAAGATTAAGCATATAATTATTGTAGAAGAAAGAAAGAGAGAGAGAGAGAGAGAGAGAGAGAGAGAGAGAGAGATATTTAAAAAAATCTAGCACAATTATTTTTATGTGTAGTATTAAAAACTATTTGATTGGGAAAAATGTGTTCTCTTTTCGCTTTTAGTTATTGGAAAATTCAATGTTTCAGATAAACACCTTACTTGAGACTTTTGGAAACGCCAGAACAAAAATGAATCACAATTCGAGTAGATTTGCCAAATTTTTACAATTGAGCTTTGGTGAAGACGGGCGAGTGATAGGTGGTAAAAAGACATATGACAATATTTCGTAATTTTTTTTTAGCTTATTATTTTTGTGTTGTTATTTATTTTTGCTTCTCTTATTTTTATTTTCTTTATTTTTTACATTATGTTCTCTTCTTTTTCGGTTTTTTTGTTTGATTTTTGTATTAATTAGAATTAATACTGTATAAATTAAAGGACTTGAACAAAAATTTCTTTAAAAAAAGAAATGGAATTTTTACAGCATAAAAGGCCGAAGAGATTTCCGTTTTAATATTTTCACCGAAAATTCTAAAAAGAAAAAAAAAACAAATTATTGAAAAAATGCTAAAGTCTTAGTGTAGGTGAAAAGGTTTTCATTCAAATCATTCAGAAAATAACATGAATTATTGTTGGCTCAACTTTAGCAATTGTCCGGGACTACATGCTTGAAAAATGTCGAGTTGTCGCCAGGACTCCTAATTGCCAAGAAGGAAACTTCCACATCTTTTACGCCCTGTTTGCAGGATTGTCCGAAAAAGAGAAACGGGACCTTTATCTACAGAAACAAGAAACCTACGAGTACGTTACATTTTTTTTTCAGTGTTTGCTGCATTTAAGAATTGTAAATAGAGTGGTATACATGTACACAATAGCGAAGTAATACAGCAAAACTCGGTTATAACGAAGTCACAGGGACCTATGAAATTACTTCGCTATATCCGTAATTCGTTATAACCGTATAAGAAAATCATTAAATTTATATAGCTGGGGATCCAAGATGACTTCGCTATTTCCGTAAATTCGCAATATCCGTGTTCGTACTAAGCGAGTTTTGCTGTATAGCAGTGTCATAGCAACAAGCTGTTGGATATCTTATGGATCTAAATTGCCCTCCCTCTTTTCTCATGAAACAATTTATTCAAAATCTTATGTACAGTAGAGCCTCATTTACCCGGACGCTTTGGTTCCTAGTTAATTTGTCCGGATATGTGAAGTGTCCAGATACCTGAATATTATCAGTTAAGCAAGACAATATAACATTAAAAAATTCTGTCCCAGTGAAAAATCGTCCGAATATTGAAGCATCCGAATATTTGGCGTCCGGATATCTGAAGGTTAACTATATACATGTAATGAATAGGGGAAAAACTTCCTTTGACATTCAACATCAATTTAACATATGTCGATGACCCATTATCAATCCATTATGTTCACGTCCATTCATTTGTCAACTCAATATATATCCTCAGTGAGGTTGATGTACAAGTGCCTGACACATCTGTTTTGTATATAAAGACCCTTTCCTGAAAAAAGATTTTAAAGTCACCAAAAACCAAGCTTTATGATATGTGTTGACTTCAACTTTCAAATCGTCAACTTCCTTTAATTATGTAGCAATCTACCATGATCACTTTTTTATGGTTAAAGTGTCTCAGATGATTCGATATACGAAAGCATACGAACACATTTCTTAAACGAGGCAAGCTATTGACATTCAAGTTGATGAAACAAGAATATACGCATGTTAGAAGTCTTGTGTAAAGTCTTCATGTGTATAATTTAATTAATGCTGACTGACATTTTTCATACTTATTGCTAGGCCAATACTGTAAAATCATATTCAAGTCAAATATTCGTGGTTTGTGTAAAATATATTGCTTCATTGGGATATGATTTTATGGCAGATGAATTGTTCAGTGGTAATATATTTAAAAAATTGCATTTCGTGGTGGACAATCATTTGTAAATTCGTGGATCTTTTCGAATTTGAAATTTAAACCCCCAGAAAATTTGTGATTTCAAAGTACATGTATGTACACACTGAACTTTCTATGGAAGCTTTCTGTTTTTCATGATCATGACATAAAGAACATGACAAATGAAACAGGTCAGTGGATTTGTTTCTCGTCCATGGCATCTGGTCCCACTTCTAATGTTTTAGAGGCCCATGTTTGCTCAGCTTATCACTTGTGTTGTTCGAAGAATTTATAGCCTAAAAACCGTACGTTCTCTCAGAGTAAATTTTTCTTACAGATGCGTAGTATTGTACCTAATAGCCACTTATAATATACGTTGTTTGAATAACATTTAAGTTTTCTTTCTATCTAATACATTCGTGATAACAGGATACTTCAAGGGAGTGCTGAAAATTTAAGAAGTGAAAAGAAAGAGGAATATCGCAGCAGATATGAATCCGTTCGACGGATTTTAACACAAACTGGAATGAAAGAAGATGTAAGAAATGTTAAAATTGTTTGAAATACTAATTGTAAAAGTGACCACTGCTGATAAATTGTGTATTTGGTTATCTAATGAATATAAAGTATTTACAGTAAATTGTTTTAAAATTTTTGTCAATCATTATCATATTTTGATATCTAGGAACAAAGGATAATGAAAAAGATGCTAGCTGCCATTTTACATTTGAGTGAAATCAAATTTGATGGAGTGGAGGGTCGTGTTGAGATAAAGTATGAGGAAACTCTGGAACAAGGTTAAATACATTCTCTCTTTTATATCAGTGTGAAATATTCTCAACATATTTTCTTTCATGTATTATATCATTAACTTCATAAAATACTAAAACAGAATGAGCAATCCCCAACATTCCAAAAAATATACTCCAATTAATTGACTGATTAGGCATAATATACATGTTTGTTAATATATTGATAAGTTTGAGACATTGAAATCTATACATGAACATCAAAAGTACATGTAAAAACGCTGAAATTTGGACTAAATATAGATAGAAATTTAATGAAGAAAATTGCTATGATAAAACAGTGTTTACTATGACGTTATTATGCTTCTTCTAAGTTTGTCTCTATACTACATGTATCAATGTCTAACTAGACCAACAACGTATTAAAAGAATTTATGTAACGTAAACATACTACATGTATCCGAAACAGTGTAAAGCTTTGTTGCAACCACTATAATAACGACCACTTTTGAAATATTTTTTTTAAATAGTGGTTGATAGTGCATTTCAGTAACAAACAGGGTATGCAACCACTATTGAAATTAGACCACTTTTAAAATAATTGTTTCAATAGTGGTCGTTACTTTAATAGTAGTTGTAACATAGCTTCATGTTTGCTAAGATAAGAAAAAATCCAATATCATTCATATAGGGAACCAAACGCAAATGCATAGGATAACCCTTGTTGTAAAAAAGTTGTACATTTATCGTGCAATGGACAAATTTAGCAAGTCGATAGGATTTTTGTTTCCAGAAGTTATAAAGAAATTGCATATCATAAAGGAACTATGTTTATTTATAGCTGCTGATCTACTGGGAGTCCAAACTACAGATTTGAAGAAAGGCTTGCTTCAAAAGTCCGAAAAAGCAGGTGACTTAATTTAGCTTGCACACTATGTACACCGAAGTCCCCTGACCTAAAAAAAATACATGTTACGTTGAAATTCCTTTTTTAAATTTTTTTTTTATTTTCTAGGGAGCAAAAATACACAGACAGCAGCCGAAGTCAATAGAGATGCTCTTGTAAAGCATACTTATGATAGGTTGTTTGGATGGGTAGTTAAAAAGATTAACGACAACCTGCACCCAAACAGAAAAAGGTTTGAATTTCAATTCATATATTTTATTGGTACATGTATCAATATTATTGAAACCGTTTACTCTAAAGCTAGTGATAAATTTTGGTGTATTATGTACACTTTTTAAAAAGGTAATAAGTTGAAAATAAATAAAAGAAGATAAAAGCAACCATGAAGTCAACAAGAATGTAGAAAGGCATACCCAAAAAATTATTGTCGAAATAATGCTTAAATCACATTTAAAAATCTACAGATCAAATATTTATTAAAAAAAACCAAAACACTTGTTTTTTTTTTTTTTTTTCAAGCACATAAGAAAGGAATGAATATACGTATAACTATTGAATTACCTTGATATATACATGTACAGTGAAAATTGTCTAATTGTTCAATCCGTCTCACTGTGAAATAATTTATATATAAACGTTTTCTATTTTTTGTACACGTACATGTACTCTGATAAATCTTACACCTTGTCAATCCCAACAGAAAATTCTTTCACTGCATTATTTAAATATTTTTTACAGTCACAGGAACAATGGGATGAAAGACATTGGAATATTGGATATTCCAGGATTTGAAAAGCTTCAGGACAACAAATTTGAACAATTGTGCATTAATTTTGTGAACGAACAACTGCAGGTATCCATGAACCGAATCCTTATTGAGGAGGAACAGAGAATTTATCACTCAGAAGGAATTAATGTTGGTATTGGAGATATAAGTAAAGGGGAAACATGCATGGTTGATGTTTTTGAAATGAAGGCAAGACATTTCATTCTGATCATATTCTTTAACTTTATTCGATAGTAATATAGCCCATTTGAATTAATGAAAGCTGTTGTTAGTAGTAATTTCTGGGATAGAAAGCACAATTCAGTAAAATGAATATTAACCACTGAAGTTTGTAGATTTTTGGCATTCACAAACGCTTCGGTTGCCATTCCTATACCCAATTGCTGATACTGATACTTAAGCTTTCATCGCCTTTACGATAATGAACAAAATAGCGATGAAGCAAAGGAAATGTATTGTGATCAATTGTTAAGCAACTGTCTCGTTGTGCAAATTGTGGGTTAAACGCAAAACGCGGAAAGAAAAATAATATTCCAGACAACACAGAAACTTAAAGAAGAATATTAAAGGCAAGTTTTCAAAACTTTAATTACATAGTACAATTATTTATTTTATAGTCAAAAGGACTATGGTCAACACTTGATGACACTACAAAGCTCCCCTTTGGTGATGATCGAAGTTTTGTGGAAAAATTGCAATCAAATGCCAAAGACTTTGACAAGCATCATATATTGAAGTTTACGAGAAGCAGAGAAACTAACTTTAGTATTCAACACTTTGCAGGCGAGGTAGGTGATAAAGATATGATTAATAATTATTATAATTAATTCATTTGCTGGTACATGACATATGTTATACATTTTTTGGAATCATTTTTTTTTTCAAATTTGATATTATTATTAAAACGATGACTATTTTTTTCTCAAAAACCATATTCAATCAAACATCAAACTTTTAGATTTGGTATAACTGTGAAAACATTCTTGAAAAAAATCGAGATAAGCTGACGGAAGGACTAGAAGAAGTCATGAAGAAAAGCAGTGAAAAAGTCATAAGTTCCTTGTTTTCCGCCGAAAAATCAATAACTGGTACATTCTCTGTGTAAGTTTCCATGCTAGAAAATTTAAACATGAAAGTTTTTGGCAAAGGCATTATCTTACCATACAGGTATTATGCCTTTTCTTCTATAGGGAGACATATTGTTTTGATCGATTAGCTTTTATAGCTCATCTGTGCCAAAAACATGAAACATAATTTAAACATATTTACAAATATACATGTATCTACCTGAAATGTATAGCTGTATAGTGACTACATTTAAAAAAATCGTTATTAAAATTCTTTTTAAATCCTTAACTTATTAATAATTAGACTTTGCTTTTATGAATTGTATTTGATTGTGTTCAAACCAAACATGCAACATTCTGATTGATTTGTAGCACACTAGCAATGGAACAAATCTCTAGGAAAGAAATGGTGTTTGAAAGGCAGTGAGTACAGAATCGCAAGTGAGTTAAGGCTAGATATGGGTTTTCTATGCAAATGAGCTAATAAAAATGCATCAATTGTATATTTTATGTACAGAGAAAGTTCAAAATGATTTTCTTATACATACAATGTACCCACAGTATATTATTGCAAGTGCACATTATGACATCATATTATGACATCATAGTCCTTTCCCATTCAAGAAAATAAAACACATCAACAAAACAACGTCGGCGCAAGGGCATAGCCTATTTAATTTAAAATAAATAAAGTATAATATTAAGAAAAATATTCTTAAAATTAATAAAATTACTGCACAAATCCTATCCTTTTGTTCAATCGATAAAAATTTTACTAAACTTACACTGGACTGTACATTTTTTACCCTGTTTCAACTTAGAACTGTGCAAATAGTAACTAAACAATTTCAGTGTTGACATTTGTGCAGCAATTTCTTAAATCTTTCGAATATTCTGCTTTTTCTTATACCTTGTTTCTGTAAAACAAGGTAAGGTATGCCCTTGCGCCGAAGCTATTTTGTTGATGTTTCTTATAAACTTGTGTAGTAAAGGTCGATGACGTCATAATATGACGTCATAATGTGTACTGGCAGTTGCATATCGTGGGTACCAAGAATGTATTAGAAAACAAGCCTTAACATTTTCTTTGCGGTATGTATAGCAATAATGGGTCTTACTTAATATTTTGCATAGAAAACTCCATACGTAGCCTTAACTCACTTGCGATGTATCGAAATCCAAGAAAATAATTCATACTCAGTATTAATTGAATGTGTATAAATTTGAAACGTTCAATGAAAAATAAAAATTTGTATTAGAACAAGACTGCATCAAATTTCTGAGACATTTAATTAATAACTTGATAAATAAAATGACATTTATTTTTTTTTCAGAAATCATATCGGGAAAAAGGGAATCCCTGGACCTAAATCCCACAAAACAGTCGTTAATTACTACAGGGTATCCTGAGAGTCTTACACAGCACACTATCTGACAGAGACTTTAAATGATTTTCTTTTCCAAATTAATTCAAAAACATAAAATTCGCTTATTTTTTTTTACATTGATTTATGCAAATTTCTAGGAGTATTTCTTAAATACAATCCAACATGATACGTTTATGAAACTTTTTAAAATATTGTTTGCATTGCATCAATTTTGTTCTCCTTATAATACACGTTTTTAGCTCACCTGAGCCAAAGGCTCAAGTGAGCTTTTCTGATCAAAATTTGTCCGTTGTCTGTTGTCGTCGTTGTCGTCGTTGTCGTCGTTGTAAACTTTTCACATTTTCATCTTCTTCTCAACGCAGCACAGTTAAGGTTACAAAAAGGAGGCGGAGCCTAATTTGTACGGGAAAACTTGACTATGACATCAATCATACACAATATACGTCATACAACATTTCTTTAAAATACCACAAAATGAGTTTATCTGATAATTTAACCAGTAAGAAATCATCAAACTACATAAAAACTTACTTCAGCGTGTTGTTTTGTCGTTGGTTAAATCCCACATAACAAGTTATAAACAAGGCACTGATCGCAATACACTTGTCAATATGACGTCATTTCTTACAACGTGACGTAGTTTGTATGCAGTGAGAGACAGATCAAGTAATATTTTCTCAACAAAATATGTATTCTCTAATTAAATAAAATATTATTTACAGATATTCTATGGGACAATAACTTGAATTTAATGTCTTCTTCGCTATTTTATCAATATATTTTCTGTACATTACGTATTTAATTGACACTGCCGTATATTTGTATGCAAGTACATCGGAGGGTAATGTGGGGGGTCTTAATAAATCGATCTAGTGCAAGGGCATACGCTCTATGGGTCAAATTAAGCTTTTACATTTCAACTATAGAACTAATAAGGTATCTGAAAAGTGCTGCGATCCTGATGAAATCTTAAAAACAATATAATTATATCAGTATTTCATGCTGCTGACCAGCAAAAAATATAGCATTCGGTCATACAACTATAATTTTAACAATAAAATTGCAGAATTTAGACAGGATCGCAGCACTTTTTAGAAACTACGATACATGTTGAAAATATTTATATACTAAACTTGGAAATTTAACTTGGTTATGCCCTTGCACTATTGATATTTATATGTAACATCAATACTTAAAGTCAATGTGCTAAAATCGCGTGACTGCCGCATCACGTGACTAATTTAAATATAAAATATAATTGTCCTCGACATGTAGTTATTAATCATAATTACACTTATCCAATATAAATAATGTACTAAAAATAATCGCCATCCCGATTACGAATACATTTTTAAATACAAAATTTAGCCGGTATTTCCATTGCGCACCTTAACTGTACTGCGAAGAACCATTGGGCCAATTTCAACCAAACTTGCTACAAAGTATCCTTGGGTGAAGGGGATTCAAGTTTGTTCAAATGAAGGGCCACGCCCTTTTCCAAGAGGAGATAATTATGAATTAGAGAAAAAATAATGGCATTTTTAAAAAATCTTCTTCTCAAGAACCACTGGGCCCCGATAGATGAAACTAATGTGGAATCATCCTCAGGTAGTGTAGATTCAAGTTTGTTCAAATCATGACCCCGGGTGTTAGGGCGGGGCCAAAATGGCCGATCAAAGTTTTACATAGGAATATATAGGAAAATTCTTTAAAAATCTTCTTCTCAAGAACCACTGGGCCAGGAAAGATGAAACTCATGTGGAATCATCCTCAGGTAGTGTAGATTCAAATTTGTTCAAATCATGACCCCCGGGGGTAGGGCGGAGCCAAAATGGCCGATCAAAGTTTTACATAGGAATATAAAGTAAAAAAAATCTTTAAAAATTTTCTCAAGAACCACTGGGCCAGGAAAGATTAAACTCATGTGAAATTATCCTCAGGTAGTGTAGATTTAAGGTTGTTCAAATCATGACCCCAGGGGTAGGGTGGGACCAAAATGGCCAATCAAAGTTTTACGTAGGAATATATTGGGAAACCTAGCTTTTAAAATCCTCTTTTCAAGTACTTCAAATTCATGCTTAGTGATATTTATACATGTATGGAATCATCCTCAGGCAGTGTAGATTCTTGTTTGTTCAAACCATGACCCCCTGGGGGGTTAAAATTCAAGCCGCCCCCCCCCCCAACTCAGTAAACTTTCTGTTCTGATCTGATATGTGCTTTCTCCTAGCAAATTGCTCAGGTGAGCGATGTGGCCCCTGGGCCTCTTGTTTAGGAACTGGTTGGAAAGCCAAATGCATAATTATGAATAACAATATGAAAATATTTAATTTAATTTTTATGACGTAAAATGTGTTTTGTATTAAATCTAGGAATCGGCGAAGGAATTAAATAGAAAACTGAAGGAGGCGACACCACATTTCGTAAGGTAAATGAATTGTCTGTTAAGAAAAATAAATATATTTGAAATATAAGCCCTTTATAATTAGTATTGTCGTATGTTAATTCACTAATGATATATTATTGCCTGAAATCAACATTTCAGATGTATTAAACCAAACGAAGAACTTCAGCAGGATCATTTTGATGCCCCATTTGTCGGAAAGCAGTTGAGATACAATGGCATTTATGAGCTCTCGAAATATAGAAAAAATGGATTTCTTGTCCGGATAAAATTCAAAGATTTTGTTGAAAGGTTACTTACTATCAAACTGCATGCGTGAAATATATATCCTATTAGATACATGAAAAGACAATTGACGATTTCTACGCTTTAGAAATCAGTTTTTCAAATTAATTTCCTATTAATGTTAAGACGTATTAATAAGTGAGAATAAATTAGATGATTTTTTTCAGCTTTAACGCTTTCAACTCATTTGCCCTCTGAATTTACCGAAAGGTCTTAAGAGGGCAAATAATATGTACATGTGAAATCTTCTTTAATTAAAGTATTAAGTATTCATAGACCATATGAAAATATTGCAAATCTTGGTTTTTGTTAAAGATAAAATAAGAGGATGCAGAATAAGGATGTTTTCCCGAGTTTTCTCAATTCTTGTGTAACTTCTTCAAAGAGCTAGGTTCATTTTATGCATAAAATAGTCCTGTACTTACATCAATTAATTAACTATCACCATCTTTACCATTTCATACATCAAATTAAAGTAGAGACTTGGCTCTTTCATTTCCGATAATAATTTTTTTTTGAGAAACCAGATACATGTATTTGCAATCAGGCTTTAAGAAATTGCGATGTTCTTAAAATTTGAAGAAAACATGAGTGGTTAACTATCTTCAACCAAGAATTAAAATACGAGCACAGCCCACGATAAAAAAAATAAAACAAGTTTTTTGATCTTCAGAAACAGATCTTTTATTATGAATTTGCATACAGCTGTATTTTGGATCAGAGTTTGTGCTTTATATGAAATATTAAAGAAAATTCTTCAAATATAGACCATTTTCAAAGGAATTTACAGGATATGAGGAAAATGACGCATTTTGTGACGTCATAATTCATTAACTAGAAGGAAAATTACGTCGTGATTAATAGATCGTGGTCACCAACACTCCATGAGTTTAATACTGCATTTGCACCCTTAACAGAGGGTTTTTTTTAAAATAAATTCTCAGAGCTTAGTAAAGCCCAAAGCGGTCCTTGCTCTTTGAGATACTTTTCACTTCTGAAAAGATAAAGCACAAACTTGTCGATCTTAAGGTGCGGTTACACGATGAGATTTTTCATCAGATTTTCCATCCGATTTTTCCATCCGATTTGCTTTCGACTAAAATCTTACCGTGTGACCACCCAAGTCGAAAGTCGAAAGCAAAGTCTGATAGTCGTTTGGAAATCGGATGGAGATCTGATTTTCAATCGACGTTCTGAAGAAAAACGTGAAGTCTCAATGACATTTCCCGCGACACGAAATAAAAAAAACCATGTAAAATAATATCAGTTTTTAACTTTTTTATATATAAATACACCTGCGTAATGAAATAAAAAGAAAACTCCTAAACCCAAAAAACATTGTGTGGAAAAGAAAAAAAATTACTAGTACATGCATAAAAAAAATGTATTCTTCAATCATAGTTTGCAAGCACGGAAATTCGTGTCTTTATTATGCATTTATGATTTATCACAAATATTTCTTGGGTCATTCAAGAGTGCATTTAATAGATTACACTTCATTCAATTCGTGAATATTATCAAAAATTAAAGTGTTTTAAAATTAGCACACACTGTGCATGTAACTGATTAAAATTAAGATCTTTCACGCAATTTTTTTATATCGCTGTTAATTAATGGCAAATATAAAGTAGAAATCCCAAGCGACAACTTCATTCTGTAGCTGAAATTCCGAATTCTATAAAATTAAAGTTACAAGTTTTAAAAAAATTAACGAATTATTTTTATATAAATCTTTAATAAGTTACTAATTTCTTGAGGGTGAACGCTTTAATTAAAATACATGCGAATTCAACGCACTACATGTACATTTAACAAAGTGATCGTATTATTTGTATTGGCGTAAGAACCTGGAGGGATTTACCCCCTCAATTATTCTCGAAAGATTGACATGATATAGGCATTAAAAATTTATACATTGGGATGTAGGTTTAGCCCCCACCCACCCCCACCCCCCTTCAAGACGCAAGTTGCATTTTAGGAAAGAGGTAGGCATAGTGTTTAAAAAAAAAAAGGCAATGAAAGAAGTTCGACCCCCCCACCTTCCCTAACGAAAAATGGTTCTCGTATCTGACCAATGGACATATTTTTTTGCTTGTTGACCAAGTTTTGTTTGTAAGTTTGATTTTTTTTTCACTTTCACTCAGACCGACTCCTTTGAATTTGCTTCATCATTTGTCAATGATTTGGGAAGGGAAGGGAAACTCCTATTTCTCGATCTTGCACATTTTTCTACTATAATCAGCAGTAATTTCCTTAAAACATTTCAATAATCAGTTAATTTACATAGTACTCTCGGTAGAATTTATTCTATTTAAAAAATATTATTTTTAATTTTATAATAAAGAAAACAGTCTATCCTTTAAGTAACTACAAAATACATGTATTAATTTTGTTCCGCTTTTATCAAATACTGAAGAGCTTATTATAAAATGTTTCTCGCCTATTCATTTATATTAGAAAATTCTGAAAACGGCATATTTTCTTACCTTTCTGTGATCTTCTTAAATCCCATAACATAGAAGCAATACGCATTTTGTGGCAGAGGTGATAAGTTGTTTCAATTAATAAACTGTTTCATCATTCTTGAAGTCACCCCAAACCCGGTCCCAGGATCATGAAACAAACTTAGACTTAAGTCAGAATCTCAATCTTCTGTAAAATATTTATTATTTATCGAATAAATCTCTAATTTTGCAAATAACAACACTTTTATAAAACAATTTTGGGAAACAGTTTGATTTTGGCCTGTTTGACTTCCACAACATTTTAGTACATCAGAACAATTTTGACTTAAGCTTAAGATGCTTCATGATCCCGGGGCCTTGGGCCAAAAAGGGGTCTTTCCCTATCTTGTCTTTTCACATGCAGACAGTCTTAAATAATTATGTGAAAATTAAGTTTTAATGAATAAAAAAAGATACTTTGTAGAAGTTAATACTGATTACGTATTTATCGAATATTGTTTTAGGTACAAGATAATCTTGCCTTCAGATCACACAAATGAAGTTGGGGATGACATTGCAGCTATGATAGATGACTTACTTAAATCTCAGCCTGAGTTGAAATTGAATGGTTGCTTCAAAGTCGGAAAATACATGGTATATTACAATGTATAATGTTTTTTTTGTTGACCAAATTTATTAAATGGAAGTCCTTGTTAGAATCGAATTTTATTTGAATTCTGAAGTACAATAGTTGTGGTTATTATATATATTCCTTAAGGATCAGAATTACAAAGTTCCCAAAGTTACGTAAAATAACGCTATATTTTGAAAGTATGGAATAAGAGCAGTGTAGGAGAACGAAAGAGGTTTGATTACTATTTTCTACTTTATATTTTTCTACTTGACTATTTTCTATTTTCTAATTTAGATTTTTTTAGCATAATAAAACTGGTATCGACTATTTAGAAGAGAGACATCACCAGTAATCAGGTCTGAATAGGGTTGTCACCCTTAGGCGCAAACGCCGTCGGATAACACCCCCACAGAGACTTAAAAATTGGTGATGTCTCCCTTCTTAAAAATCGATAATTGTATATTATATCATTGTGATAAAATATGATAAAGGTTAACTATCATAGGTGTTTATGAAAGAGGAACTAAGCAACTTCATTGAGAAGCTTCTGAAAGAGGAAGAAGATAGAAGAAAACGAGAAAAGGAATTGATGGAGGAGAGAAGGAAACAGAAGGCGAAAATCGAAGAGGAAGAAAGACTAAGGAAAGAGAAAGAGAAAACCAAGACAGAGCAAAATTCCGACAAAGACAGAGAAACGAGAGATATTGTATGAACCTATAGCAAATTGACTTATACAATATTATACATTTATTGCATGATAGTGAGGGAAAATATGAAGACTTATTCAGCCAAGAAAATCATATTCCCCGAGGGCTTCGCCCGAGGGGAATATGATATTTCTTGGCTGAATAAGTCTTCATGTTTCCCGAACATTCATGCAATGAATTGTTTATTATACCGAAACAAGCAAAGCCTTTGAAATAAACATAAAACTTTCAAATTTGGCACCGCTCTCAAATTCACTTTCATTGTTAACGTAAAATTACTATAAAACCCTTTGGTCAACACATTGTCATCAGTTTTGTGACGTCAACCAGGCTATTGTGACGTCTACTACTCTCGGGAGTTTTCGTTCAACGAACTAGAACTATATTGCGGGAAAATTCACTAGGTGTTCCGAAGAGGTGGAATATGATGAAAAGCGTGCTGACGACGGGAAATATGAAGTTTTTTACGGCCCGATCACGTGATAACCTAGAACCAATCAGATAACGCGTTGTGTAGAATATTCATAATGAGGTATAATAATAGTTAATATCATTGTCAATTACCTCAAGCATATTTAACACGATTGTTTCACTATGATAGAAACAATCCACTTTTGGAAGTAAGATTAATGCAAAAAATACATGAAATTTTGTTAGCATTTTTTTCTCCTTTCTATAAAAACATAGAATAAAATTTAGGTAACACAAAGTTAGATTTGCCAAACAAGATTTATTTGCATAGTTTGATATATATTATAGGAATTTCTGTTAGCATATATAAGTAAAAGAAATATTACCATGTTTCGTAAGGCAGATATATAATGCAGCACTTGACGCTTTGCTTGTTCTTCAGGGGAAGTGGGAAGACAAAGAAGTAAAACCAAAAGAGTGGGTTGGACTCTCCAATCCTCTTCATATAGCAGCTGAACGTAGTTGGCTGTCTTCATCCAATTCTGAACGTGTACGTAGTAAAGACAACCAAAAGGTACATGCACAAGACTCGATGCATTTTTTCCCAACACAGAGTACGCTCATATACAAGATGAACACATTTATAATTTCTTAAATACATGAGCATGCATATTATTTCTGATCCTACTGTCTATAGGTGTATCTCATAAATTATTGCAAATATATAAAATGTAAACAAAATTCATTCCCATCTTATTTTTGGAATTTAAATAAAAGAAACATTAAACAAATATTCAGCCCAAGCTTGAGAATCAGTTGATTTTTATTAGGGTCCAACGCCAAAGTATTCATTTTCCAAAGTTACTAATGGGTGATTGCATCTAGACAACGATTTCTACAAACTTAAAACCGTAAAACTATAAGTAGTTGGACAAGTGGTGATATGGATGAAACCTTCTTTTGTTTTGGCTCTAGCTGTTCCCCAATGTCATGTAATATTTCAATTACACATTCCTTTTTAAAGCGAGGTCTTTCAACAAAGTCTTCTATGTCATTCAAAAAAGGATTTGTCCTGTCTCTTAGCACTTTTTCTCGCCTGATAAGTCTTTCCACCGAATAAATTTGGTCTATCTTATCAAAATAATACATTTATAAACCTTCCTTTAAACCTGCCCATCACCTGGTTTACATTAAACCACAATGCTGAGCTCTACTCAGATAAATCAAAGAGGTCTGCAAGTGATTTGATAATTTTGAACCTGACTTAAGTCTAGATTACCTTGATCCAGGGGTAAGCCAACCATGAACAAGTGGTCATTAAAGTCAGCTTTACGCAAATTCTATGGTCTTAACGACCTTGTATTTAAATGCATACTTCCATTGGGTCGTATATTTCCTGAGGTTTCATTGCTTTGTGTTGTCTATGGAACACTCCATGCACCTAATCAATACAATGAGTTTACAGGGGAAGTGAATGCCAACAGGGGATTCTTACTTGTCAGCGGCACCTACCCCCACCCCTCTTTTTTGATGTGCCTTGTTCATGATTGGTCTATTAACTGAATATCCAACATTGATCAAACCTTTCTCACACAAAAGCATAGGGGTTTAAAAAAGGTTGGTTAGGTCGAAACCCAACCAGAAACAACAATGGACTTACATGTCACATAATTGTATATTTAAAAAAAAATATTTATCTAATCAGGGTTTTACTTGTAAACAATACTAAGGCCAATTAAACAGATAAGCTTTTCTTTTGTCTAATTTGATGATAATTAATCAATGTGACGTCCTAGGACAAGTCAGGGAGATACTTTTGAAGAATTTTTATTTAGAATTTCATAGCATTCACAAAGAAATACATGACAAGAGTCTATATGTAGAAAAGATCAAATCACAAGATACTGTGTATTCAATTTTTAATAAATGGAAATCTTAGACCTTAATTATATGGCCACAAAAGATCATTGTGTTCTACGTCTTAAGGATAATCACTTTAGAAATGGTAACCAATATAAGCATTATATATCAATAGATGCATTTTATTTTGTCAGTCTCAGAGCAAAGAGGAAATTCAACTGAAAGAGATAAAAAAAGATACAGAACAAACAGATGAATATAATCAAAGCAGCGAAGAGGTATTGCTTCTTGGCAATAGTGATATATATGTACCTTTTTTCTCTTTTTTATTTACAATGTACATGTATGTGTCTGTTTATTACTACAACAGTTAAAAATGCTAAGAAACTGAATTAAGAATATCTGTTTATAAGAGATTGACAATCGGGTTTACTGAAAAACTGCATGATTTGCTTACCAAATTAAATTTATTTTTTCGAGTTCAATAACTTTTAACAAACATATCTTTAATTACATACGTATGTATTGTGCCAACTGTCATTAGGTCATATTTTGTCTGACGTGTCATGCCGATTTTTAGTTTATTGCTTTGTTTTTACTATGGAACACTCAATGTAACTAATCAATACAATGGGTTCACAGAGGAAGTGAATGTCAACAGGGAATTGCCAAGGCACCTTAACCCCCTCTTTTGATTTGCCATGTTCACGATTGGTTTTATTTACTGAATTTCTGAAATTGATCAAACCTTTCACACACAGAAGCTTAAGGTTACCAAAAAAAAAAGAAACAATACCATGGCCAGTTAAACAAATAAGCTCTCTTTTTGTCTATTTGGATGATAGTTAATCAATGTGACCTCTTAGGACAAGTATGGGAGATAGTTTAAGAGAACTTTTATTTTTTAATTTTATAGTATTCACAAAGAAATGCATGACAGCAGTATGTATGACTGTAGAAAAGATCAAACTGCATGATACTGTGTAGTCAAATTTTAATTTTTGGAAATTTTGGACCTTAATTCTATGGCCAAAAAAGGATCATTGTGTTTTACGTCTTGAGCATAATCACGTATCAATGTAAATTGGTAACCATAATAAACATTGTATGTAAATATATGCATTTTATTTTGTTAGTATCAAGACAGAGAAGAAACACAAGTGAAAGAAATCATAAAAGATACAGAACCAACAGCTGATTATATTCAAAGCAGCGAAGAGGTATTGCTTCTTGGCAATAGTGATATATAGATACTTTATTTTCTCTTTTTTTAACTTTATGTGTCTGTTTCTTACTATACTGTTTGAAATGAAGAGACGTAATTAATTATATCCATTTTTTAATGATTGAAATTTATGTATGCACAATTTGCTTACAAATATATTTTTTGAGTAAAATGACTTTAAGCATACTTTTATATATTGTAAAGGGAGAATTTATTGTTATTTCACTTCAATTAAAAATATAATAAAGAAATAAAGTAAGCTTACTTTCAAGGAAACAAATGAAGATGGGGATGAAAGAAGAGATGTCAAGAAACCAAACCCTCCAACTGCTAAAAAGGAGTAAGATCCACAAGAAGAATCAAGATAATTGATAAAATAGCCAATTTTTAAACTTCTGCATATTCTCTTTAAGTATTATTTGGCTAAAAACAAAAAAAAAATGTATCACAGACCCTTATAATATAATGCCACTTTATTACACTAATATCATTAAGCGTTGCAGATTCAACACTTTTTGCCATTGTCACGACACCCTAAGCTTGATCGGTGAAAACAAAATTGTTGTTCTATTTACAATTTTATATAAAAACAAATATATACAAATATACAATATGAGAATGAAGAACAATTTCAAAATGTCTATTTGCATTCACACGTTACTAAGCCGTCCATGTCCAATCCTTGTTACGGTCCATGTCCTACAGGTACTACGCCCTTGCACTGAATGCCACAACGTCCTCAACGTCCTCGACACCCCACGACAATCCAAAGCGTCTTTAGCGTCTGCAGTGCTGACTAAATTCAGGAAACCACGTTTCCCCACACACGGTCTCGGACTAGCGTACCACGCCCTCGTGTAGTCACCCAGGTTGCCACCGCCGACAGCACCAAACCATTGTGTAACCACATTTACGTACATGTATCTAGCTATGAACCTTCAACAAATATGCGTAGACATAAATAAGCTTGACCCCAACGGGCTGCCTTACAACATATAAGTGTTTACACATATAATTGTTCAAACGTACAGTTTAAAACAAAATATATCACACCATTTCGCACGGCAAAGCAAAATAATGTACAATATAACGTTAAACTATGAGTAATAAACATATCATTACTTTACACTTAAACTCACGGCATGTGCACGTGGTAATATTTCCCGTATACAATTCGAACACTTTCTCGTGGATAAAAAATAGAACAAGCTCAATTAATATAAACACTCCATTACCTTACAATATGATAAATGTAAGTAAATTGCACTTACCCTGATTGGAGATTCAGTTACCACGAATCAAACTATCTAACCCTCCATGGACAAGTGAAACTACTTTCACTGGTCAAGGAAAACGTGCGCTACCCAAGACAAATCTGACATCACCTTATATAGCGACTGGCCAAATATTTTAATCACCTGAGCGTCACAATGGGGCTCCTTTCAGGATAAACACTAAATACAAATAAGGGCCAACAGAGGGTAATACTGGACTTTTACGAGAAGCGCT